TTAGCGTGTTTGGAGTATATCTTAGATACTTGCATACTGATTTTTTTATACTTTATATTTTGGGTATTTTAGGTATAACTGGGACCTTGGGTACAGTTTCGTTCCACCTCATGTACCACATGTGATGCCAATGACAATAAAGAACCTTGAAATTGTGGGCAGCATGACGGCTTAATGGTTAGCACTGTTGCCTCACAGCAACGTCCTGGGATCAATCCCCACCTTGGACCTGGGCTCTTTCTGTGTGGAGTTTGCATGTTGCGAGAACTCCTCCCTAGTTAAATTAAGATGAATAAAAAGTCTATTTATGATGACCAGCAGCTTCTTGTATAGCCTAGAAGCTAAATGAGCTCCAGTTAGCTTGGCAGAACTTATATTTGGATACATTCCAAAGCTGACACTAAGTAAGTGTTGGCAACAGTCTCCTCCAGTCGGTGAGCTCAGCAAGCTCCTGTAATTCAATCTTCACACCTTTGCTTCCTCTGCCAGAGTCTTGTCTTACAGAACTATATAAAGAGCTGACATTGAGACTTAAACCTGACTTTGGACCCACTGGAAGCATTGATTCAGAAAACAAACGGCGAGACATGAGTGATCAGTTTGCGCACGATTGGCAGGCAGTCAGCAGCATATCTGGCAGTGAGGGCTGTAATTACAGTTAGAGCCTCAAACGCATCTCTGACCTGCGCTGATTACGAGCTATCCTCCCAAACCATCCAGGGTCATCACTCACCTTGCTAACTAGTATTGTAAATCAGCTACGGATCACTGACCTGATATTAGAGCCACAACAGGAGAGTAAATGGGCAGATTACACAGACTGCAGACTTATAAATAATCAGCAAGGAGATATGGGAGTGAGGTGTGGGAGATGTTTATGGCAGGCGGACAAACACCTGTCACTCTGATAAGCTTGATTTATATTGACTGACATGTCAGCACATAGCTCTAGGCTTACTGACAACCTCGACTGCCAGCATCACACCCTGGAACCAAGTGGTGATTTCTACAGTAGATACAGGAGAGAGATGACGAGCCTCTTCACAGCAGTCACAGCTTCATTAAGGATAAAAGTCAGATGGGCTAGGATGAAGATGAGAGTTGTTTCCTGGTTGATTGGGCCAGAAAAATACTTAAATAAAAACTAGGACCGCTTTTTTCTTCTCAATACTTCTAGGAGGTTGATTTTGAGAAACTAATTAAAAAAAAATCTAACAAATGGAGGTTGGAAACAAAGTTTTCCCCATAAAATTGAACATTAAAATATTTTAGTCTTTTTACTTCAAAAACCGTTCTCTGAAATCTGCTTCATTACTTGCTATTTTAATTTTTTTGCTTGTTTATGCTACTTTCAGTTTTTAGCTATTGTCTTCCCATTTTTTTGTTTTTATCTAGAGCCTTACAAAATGTAGCTTTAGGTACAAGTTTGATACTTTTAGTTTATAGCTACAGGATTGTTTAGTTTAGCTACGGTTTAGCAAATACGGTATAAGCTTTTTAATAGAGCATCTTTAATTTGAGATTTTAGCTTTGCTCATTTCATCAAAGCATTTGTCTACAATTTTGCTTAATGCTTTTGTGAAAACAGTTACAATATATTTAGTGTTTTCTGTCTTCTTTTTTTTTTAAGCGTTCATTCTTAGTCTGGTTATGCACAACTGAGTTTATACCCACAATGTTAGTAAATAATAATGTAAGCCGAATTTAGTTTAAATACAGGAAAATCTGTCTTTTCAGAAACCAAGGTCAAAAGGCAGGTTTATTTTCACTCGCCTCAAAATTATTAACAAAAAAATTAATCACACACAGTTTTTGTTGTTGTTGTTGTTGGTTTAAGTTTGGTTCTTATTTTGAAGATGCTCAGGGCTGGATGGATATGGGCCAAGGTCTGCTTCTGGCCATATTCCCCACAGTGGTGTGGAGTTATATTCATCAGCTTAAATTATATATTGAGGGAAAACAAGCAATACAGCTGTCAAATACGATGCATCACATCCTTTAATAATGCCAAATTCGATCTGAGGAAACTTTACTTTGTCTGCTGCCATGAGTTATGTTCAAGAAAATGACCTCAATTTAGACTTACTTGCATTTTTTTAAAAATGTCTTATTTCACATTTTAAGGTTTATATTGGAGGGCTTTAATGGAACACTGACATAGGGCCTGTCTGAAGAGGAGGGCAGGGGGAGGGTGACATTTCCTGCATAATGCCTGGGGATACCATAAATAAGGCTGAGGTATGTCTGACAGACAGTCTGCGCTGACCTATAGCTGAGTGACCTGGTTAAAGAGCAGGAGGAACAGCTGACCGCTCCATCAGGATTATATCCCTGAAGTTGAAAAGATCGAGCCTTCAGCCCTCTATTCCAGGCCCAAAAGGGATGGGAGAAAATATTAACAATAATAAAGACGAGTCCTAAGATTTTAAACATAAAGGAGCAAAAATGAACATGAAGTTTATTATAAATAATCTTACATTTTAGTCTGCGGTTTGTACTAGAAGGAATTTGATTTGGTAGAGAATCACAGCAGCATCTGATTTTATCTTCAACAAATCCACGTTTATTTATTACCATCTAACCGCTCAACCATTTGACAGTAAAATACGTGTCTTTATGATGAAATGTATTAATTAGTGATATTCTGGCATCATTAGTGTAATTTAAAGATCAGGAGAACAAATGGCACGGTGGCATTTATCTTTGAAACATTATATCTTGGTGTTAACTTGCAATAAAAGCATCTGTATATTCTGAGGAAATCTTACAGGAGATGGGGTGAAGCAGACATCCATTAGGGATATCCTTTATTGGCACTTAAAAATGAGAGGCAGCATTTAGCCTCGCTCACCATCGACAACCTGACCCATTGCCAGCAGATATTAAAAGGAGGGCTCTTAGGGGCAAAACACCACATCATTTTTAAAGAAACGGCCTTAAAATTCACACGTTATTGCTTTAAAATTGAAAATAGTCAAAATTTGTCTTTAATTTTGTCTGATTATCCCCCCGTTTCCTTCCAGCACTCTAAAATAAAGCAGTTCTTCTATACAGTAGATCCAATATAGTGTACTCAATAAGTAATTATAGTAATTCATTACATCTCCAATTAGTAGAGGAGCTTTATTGCTGCAGTATACCATAAAAAAACAGGATTTATGTTGGCTTTGAATGTCACCCAGAGGACAGAGGACTATGGCTCATCATTCAACAGGAACAAAGCAACGAGACAAGAGCAAGAAAAAATAATATAGACACGAGTTACTGGTTGATGAATGCGTTTTTCTTTCCATCTTCTTTCCCGACCTTGAAAAACACTCGACAAGGTCTCATCGTCTGGAAACATCGCCCTGATGAATGAAACTGTACATTCTGGTGTTTGTGTTGAGACTGTAAAAACATAGCCTGCATGTAATCTCAGAGGGACGTGTTCAGCTAACGCCACCTCGCCTGCTGTCAAACTGCCCCTCGGAGGGCGATAAGCATCCCTGCCATCAGCGTGGGCGGCTGTCTTATTAGTGCACCTCAGCCGTTTCACTCAGGCATGCAGCCTCCCATCTGCCACGCACCGATCCACTGCCCAGAAAAATAACCTCTCAGGTGCTATTAAAACAAATAAATAAATAATGTCACTTTGAAGATTGGGGACAAAAAATGCTGACCGGACGAATAAGCTCGGATTTTTTAAATTAACATGTTTCTGGTATTTACCCAAGAAGTCCCTCGATTATCGCGGGGGTCATGTTCTGGATACAAGTGAAAAACTGTAGAAAGTAGTTAGAATTAGAATTAGGTAAAGTAGCGCTACATTTTTTTTTTTTATTTAACACAAGTTAAATTGACAGATTTCTGAGTTGAAACATCACACAAAAACAGTTCAGTCAACAAATTTAAATTACACTAAAGCAAAAGTTTATTTAGCAAAAGTTTATTAATCAGCATAACAATGTTTATTCATTCAACTTAAAATTTTAAGTTGAGTGAATAGTGGACAGCAGCTTGTTCCAGTCTGGCTCGGTTCCAGTTGGGCAGACCTACCCTGCTGGTTCTGGTGGTCGACTCTCTGCAGCCCTCGACCTTCGGATGGCCAGCACGGGACCACACGGTGGTTCCAATCGAGTCCAAATCCGGATGGGAGTGGAGGGGGGCGTCCCGGTGGGCTCCGGGGAAGCCTCCCCGCTCAGGAGGCCTTGTGGGCTGGAGGGTGGCACTCAGATTGACTGATGAGTCTGTGGAGGTCCAGTTTGGTTCCGTTCGGTTCTCTGAATCCGCTGGGCACCGAAGTCACTATGAATAAGGACCAAACTTTTTTGGGATCCGATCACAACTTTTCCTCCATTTCAGCAGAAGGCGACAGCTGGAGCACTGTTGGCTTCTGGGAAATGTAGTTATTTTGAGGGACGTCACAGTATAGGCTTACTGAGAGAAAACTACAACATGGCAGCGCCTTTCAGAAGTAATTTTTTCATTAACTGTTTACTGTACAGTATCCCGTACTGTCCCAATCACATGAATAATATTAAAGTGGACAATCATGTGTCATGCAATCTTGCTTTGAAAAACTGCGAAATAACAAGTCCGCAAAAGCCGAACCATAAAGTAGTGAGGGACTAGTGTAATCATTAAAATAGAATATTTTTAACCACAGTATTGGCTTTATTTTGTAAAAGTTACAAAAGACAAATAGTGATTTTGGCTTAACCACACTGGTTTAAAATACAGTCAGTTTTTGCCGTTAGCCTTTTTCCTCTCTTTGCTCCGACTGTAAACATCCAAGTGAAGATTTGTGTGACACAAAACAAAAAGATGAAGATTTTGGGAACTATGTTGCCACCTTGTGGTTTAAATAAAGGCTAGACAAAGTAGAACAATTGAAGCAGTTTATAGTTGTTTATTTTGTAGGATGAACACAGTTTACTGCAATGCAGAAAAATGATATGGGAAGAAAATACTGCTTTAGGAGAAAATAAATATTAACTGTAGCAAAGTACTAAAACAGCTTAAATGCATCGGAGTCAGATGAGCATATTTTCACAGCTTTTTTACAATGAAGGGCAGAGATAATACATTGGAGCCAGGGACACACTGTTATTTGGTGTTTTGAAATAAACATTGTGCACAAAGTTTATTATATCAGAGGTATTTACAGAACATAGAGCTCGATCAGATAGTTTTTAGGAACGATACCTACAGCTCCATTCTTCTCTCCAACCCACCAACCAAAGGAGTTGTACTCCTACAATTAAAAAAAGAAAAAACACACAATTAATAATCATTGCAGCATTAAATGGCTAACAGAACTCTGCATGTCCTTTTTCAGACGTTAGCATTATGAGGCTCATGTGATGATATCTGCGTGAGCATCTGCAGAGGTTTGCATCATTTGTTAACAGCTTTCATTTTTTCATATAATATCTATCTCGGAGTTGTTCTGTTCTCATTTCAATTTGGATGTTTCTGGAAATATGGTTTCGTCTTGGGGGGGGGGGGGGGGGGGATATTTTTACACTTATCACATTTCTGTCTTTTTAGTGAAACATTTTATGTTTGTTAATGACTAATTTCAAAAAGTTTTTTTATTAATCGTTTTGGGTTTTTCCACTTTTTGTCTCGTTCTGGTCATTTTTAACCAGATGTAGTTTAACAGTGGTCCCATTATGATTACGGTTTTTCTCTTATTGATCATTTGCTTTTCATTTAGGCTGTTTTGCATCCGTTTGTTGACTGTAATGGATTTTATTTTTATTTTTTTCTTTGTAAATTCCTTTGGAATATTACCCTGTTGAAATAATTTTACCACCCTGCTTTGCCTGTAGCCCTGTTCAGTAATCTGTTTTTGTCCCACTGACAAATTCACACTTCCTGTTTCTCTACCTGCTGTCGGATTTGGGACTGCACACTCACTCCACTCCTCTCCACAGAAAACCTCAACGTGCACGGAGTGCATTGCACATAAATCTGTCACAGCTCGACAAGGTATAGCTCCAAATGGCAGTCGGCATGCTGAGATGAGAGGAGAGCGCTGCGAGGCGAGATCTGAGACAAGGAGAGAACAACCCTCTGTTTCTGTCTTTGGACCAGAGCTGGAGCTCACATCAAAGTCTTCCTGCGGCATGAATCAATGCTGGAGCTCACATTCTGACAAGGCTGAAGGAAGACGGAGCTGTGCAGCGTCTCAAGACAGAACTCAGAGACAAGTGGGAGCCAACATCTGTGCCCTAGTTCTTCTTAAATCAATGCAATAAATGCAAGGGCTCATATGGTAGTACTGCATAAAGGAAGATTACAACTGTAGTACAGGCTAACCCTGACAGGCATGTGGTGATGGATCATTTGTGTCAAGTTAAGAAGTAATGTCAGAGTCACAACTCAATACAGTTGTTTGAAAAAAAAAAAAAAAAAAAAACATGAAACTGCTTAGGATTATTAAAAACTAAAATATTATATTATAAAAGGCAGCCAATCTGGTAAATATGCTAAAAACATTTTATTATTTTCTTACATGACAAAAAAATGTATTTAATTTCAAACCTAGGAACGATTATACAGCCAACTGACATAAAAAGTGAGCAATTATGTGCACGTGCATGTGTGTGTGTGCATGCACAAAGACTGCAACTTCCTGCCAGCAGCCTTTTGAAAACGGCAACACCTCATTGTGTAGTTAGCTGGCTGACAAATAAATTACGTTCAAGTGAGTGCCGGACACAACGCGGGTACAAAGTTCTGGAGCTGTGGACGAGTAATGATACCACACACGTAGACGGCACACACGTTGCTTTAAAAAAAAAAAAAAAATTCAATTACTTGTTTTAGTTTTCCAACAAAACAGCAAAGAGGTGAGTTGGTCAGCGTTGAAAACTGTCTAAAGAAGGGATTGATTGGATCTTCTAAAGTGGGATTTGGTGAAAAATTGGTGACCCTTTATTTATTATCTTAGCTGTTGCAGACTTTAGTTTTTTTTTTTTTTTTTTGGGGGGGGGGGGGGGGGGGGGGGGGATGATAATTTGGACAAGATCAACAACTTAATGGATAGTCTGAATGGAGTTAAGACCACAAGTAGATTTCTGCCATCACAGAAAACTCCAACCTCAAGATATCCTCAAGTGATCAGTTAACTCGTCACTCTGTTTAACTCCATTCGTCCAAACTGGGAGCCACCAGTAAGATGCCATTTTTAACTTTTTCACAGAACCCCACTTCAACGGCTCTGCCGCTTCAAGACTTCTTAACTATAGTTTTTCAACTCGCAGAGGGGGGGTTGCCTGTAAGAGGAGAGTGATGAGGCATGCAGCAAATCCGGACAACACACCCTCCCTTCAAACAGGCTTCATCTATAGAGGGGAGTGGGGGGGGGCATCTCACAGCTGTAATACCACACCTATTTCTGCAGTGGAATGGGGGAGGGATGCAAGAGTCGAGAAAGAAAGGGGAATTGTGGAGGGGGTGGGGGGAGACTGCTGTGCTTTTAGCTGCAGCTGGACTGTGCAGTTCAGACAGGTTTTATGGTCATTGCCCTCACAGCAAGCCACAACCCCCAACACCAAGGTTTTAGCTAATGGCACTCCCAGTGAGTAAAAGGGCAACTAGGTTATTTTCCAAAAACCGAGAAGGAGCAATAAACGAGCATTTTCTCAATGTGAATTGATGTGATTTGGCTTGTTTGAACATTTCAAATCATTTGATTATTGCTGAACGGAACTGAATGGAAAATAAAGAATTTTGGTTCATGAAAGAAACCACTTATTAGTTTTTATTTAATCTATTTTTTTTATATTTTATTAACTAATGTTTATTCTATTAAAACCACAAAATAATTATGAATCAGTATCTTGTACATGAAAAATGTTCAAAAGTTCTGGTTTTCTTTACTTGTCGTTCATCTAGTCACCACTAGATGGCAGAGTTGATTTTTAAACAGGACTTGGCCTGTTGACTCTGCTTCAGAGAAACACAACTTGTCCAAATAGGAGCACATTTCACTCTTTTTGAAGACAAACCACGAGTTTTGATGAAAAAACATGAAAGTGTTCTTCCTATGGTGTTCAAAAATACCTTGTTAAATATAATAAAATCACATTTGGTGCACACATGAACCAGTTTAGTACAAAAGGGCCCCTGTTTAGTTATATTAAAGAAGCTGAAGAACAGACCCTCAGTTTTCAGACCCTTGTCCAGCTGACAGGCCTCAGAAACCATGAGTCAGCTTCATGTCTTCACCTGCTCCACATACTAAGGCTGGGTTTCCTGAAAACACACATTCCTATTTAGCAAGGTGAGCAAGACAAGGGGAGAGGTGTGTGCGCACACGAGTGTGTGTGTGTGGGCTTGGGGCCTGGCATGGCAGCATTAACTGAGTGCTGAAACAGTCCAGATGGAGGTGATGGAATGGTGCTGGGTTCCAGCTATAAGCCGGGCCTCTGCCAGCAGCACTAAAACAGTTTCTGTTGTGACATGACTAATCCTCAGGCTGCCAGGGGAGGAGTGGGGCTAATGCTGTGTGCCTCTCACCATCAGATGTTCACCTCAGGAAGTTGGCAAAGCACTGCCAGACCAAAGAAGTCAGTTCCTTTAAAATTCCTTTTTAATACTTATTTTAGATTAACCATGACCAATTTTAACAACAGTCAACAATCATTGGCGTTGGGTTTGTCCTCTGGTGCGGTCCCTCAAAATTTCAATTTCAGTGCAACCTCTGATTAAACAAAAAAAAAAAGAACACAGGAATGGATACTGCTGTTCCTGTGAATCTTAGGCCTATATCTAAATTATCTTTTATCTCAAAAAGCCTCGAGAAGATAGTTTATAACCAATTAATGGCTTTTCTGGAGAAATACAATTACACAACACAGAAACAGCTCTTTTAAAATAATTTAATGACTTTTTTAGTAACTGACTCTGGGGATTGTGTTGTTCTTTAAGACTTAACTGCCACATTTGATACAGTGGACCATGAACTTTTAATTTCCCACTTGAATCAGTGGGTGGGTGTCAGGGGTGCAGCACTGGAGTGGTTCAGGTCATACTTGATACACTGAACTTTTTGTGTCAGTCTTTGTGACTTTGCTTCCTCCACTGCTCACCTCTCATGTGGGGTCCCCCAGGGATCAGTTCTGGGCCCACTTTTATTTTCTCTTTACTTGCTTCCACTTGGTTCCATACTTAGGAAATTTGGTATTTCCTTCCACCGTTATGCAGATGACAGTCAGATTTCTGTCCATCTTAAAATAATAATAATAATAATCTGCAGTCTGTCAATCCATTGCTCAGGTGTCCTGACAACATAAAAGCCTGGATGGCTCTTAACTTTTTAAATTTTAATGAGAAAAAAAAAAAAAAAAAAAAAAAAAAAACAGAAGTGATGGTTTTTGGAGGTACCACTGGCCCCTCTCCTGTAGATCTGGGCTGCTTGGCCCAGTTCATTAAGCCCACCATTACAAATCTTGGGGTGAAAATGGATATGGATCTCAAGCTTGAGAGTCAGATAAGTTCAGTTGTTAAATCAAGCTTTTTCCAGCTGGCTAAAATAAAACCCATCCTTTCATGTCAACACTTTGAAACAGTAATTCATGCCTTTGTGACCACTAGGCTGGATTACTATAATGCTCTTTATGTGGGGGTTAGTGGCTCCTCCATTGCCCGTCTTCAGAAGGTGCAAAATGCTGCTGCACGTCTTAACTGGCACATGTAAATACGAGCACATTTACCCCATTTCAGCCTCACTTCACTGGTTGCCTATACATTTTAGGATCAGTTTTAAGATTCTTTGGAACGGTCTGCCTCTCCACATCAGACAGGCCTCCTCGCTGCCCGTTTTTAAATCCCATCTTAAAACATCTTTTTTCCAAGGCTTTTTACACCATGTGAGATGCTGATTTTAATAATATTTATTTGATACTCCTTTTATTGTTTCAGTTTTTATTGCATAGCTGTTTTTTTTCCCCCTTGTATTTTATTCCTTTTTGTGTTTTTTAACTGGTCTGTACAGCACTTTGGTCCTGTATGGTTTTTTTTTTTAAGTGCTTTATAAATAAAATTGGATTGGGTTTGTGTTCTCCAAAAAATACTTACCAAAAGAACTAAAAAAAAAAAAAAAAAATCTCTACAACTAGATCTGTTCAGATCAGATCACAGTTATCAGATTGGAGTACTAATTGGGTCACTTGTCATTGATTGGCATCAGAGTAGCTGCCCCAGTCGGCTCCTGATCTTACTCGTTGGCCCGTAGAGCTTTACATCAGCTGTGCCCTGGCTACCTATGTATGGACTTCACTGGGTTAAAGCCCATGGGTCCAACAGTGTTAAGGGGCCTGTTGTTTTTGAAGTCACATGATGAGGTTGATAACTTGTCAGGTTTTCTGTCAATCACTTCCAGATGTGTTATTGTGGCCACCAATTGATCCAAATTAAAAAAGACCCAGGTGGGCTCAATGACCTATGGTCCATGAGCTCACCAATCAGACAATGTAGTGAGTTTTGGGGTATGTCCCTCAACAACTGAGTGACAAAATGTAGGGGAGGAAGTTCGAGAGAGGTGCTCATAAAAAATTAACAATAAAAATTTGCAGAGCAAGCAACTAGAAAAGTTCCTCAAGAAATTTTGACAGGGACTGCCACGCGGCCGCCATTTTAAATTTATGATTTGCTGTACTATACGTTGGTGATCGCAGCTCCCACCACACCGAATTTCAGTTCAACGCGTTTAAAAATAGCTGTATTACAGCCATTTGAGTTTAGCTTTAGTGGTCAACTTAGATTTTTTTTTTTTTATTTGAATTCAGAATCTGTTGGACATCGCTCTCAGCTACCACCAAATGGAGCTTGATAGGTCTAAAAATGTCTGATTTATAGTATTTTTCTTTTTGAAGAGGAGGCCATATTGTACTTTGATTTGCAATCAGTCTATTAGGGATCACTTTCATCACCAATACAGCAAGTTTCAGATCAGTAGCTCTAAAAATATCTGAGTCCATTTGAAGTTAGCAGTGGTGGCCATCTTGGATTTTGGCTACTGTGATACCAATTTTCAGCTTTATGCATCTAAAATTGGCTGAAATATATTTCTTCCTTAAAATTGTATTAACTCTTAGCTTAAAAGTGAGATTAGCTCCCAGAATGTCAAAGAGATTGCTCTTGGCAACCACAATAACACATTTCAGCTCAATATTTCTAAAAACGGCTGAGTTATAGTCATTTGAAATGAGCTTTGGTGGCCATCTTTCATTTTGTATTTGCATTCAGATATTGTTAAAGATTGTTCTCAGCAACTACTGTAGAAATTCTCAAGGCTGTATGTTTTTAAAATGGCTGACTTTATAGTCCTTTGTAAAATTAGCCTCAGCAGTTAGCTTAAATTATAGGATTAACAATTGACATGTGTTTGAGATTATTCTTAGCTGCACCACAGCACATTTCAACACTATAACTCTTAAAGTGCCATTTACAATTGGCAGTGGTGGCCATTTTGATTTTTTTTTATTATAATCAGTATTGGGCACCGATTGTTTTCAGATACAAATTTTTAGCTTTGTATGGTTAAAAATGGTATCCCTTTGTAACAGATGGCTTGAAATGATAAGCTTTCAGAATGTGACTGATAGTGGCTACCACCATACCAAATTTCAGCTTAATGTGTCTAAAAATGGCTGAGCTATGGCTGAAAAGAGTGCAATGGTTTATGAAATATTTTGCTAACAGACATTTCCATTAATTTGTCTTTGTTTCGTAAAGCAAAACATGAAACTGAAGGCTCCTAGTGCATTAATTATGTGCGTTTGGGATCCTAACCAGCTTTTATGGCTTTAATCTGTTGCACAGTTTGTGTAAAAAGTGCTCGTTTACAGCTTCAGTGCACTGAAGGCCTTCCTGTACTGTAGAATAGGCAGGCCCCAACAATAAAGAGCTGGAAACAGTAAAGCACAGTTACATTTATTTAACAAGTCCATAAAGGCTCTCTGTGAATCTTGTGGTTTTTTACTGTTTTTTTTTAAGACATCAATAATATTCTTGTGTTATAATGTGAATGTACCATCATAAGATACTGTATGTAATAAAAATTTAGTGCAACATTTATTACAGTCACTACAATCTTTTCTAACATCAATCATGCATCCATTTTTCCTTTTTAGTTTTGGAAAGATTAAAAAAAAGGGAAAAAAGGGAAATAATATCTATAACTACAGACTAGTTATTAAAATGACAATCATACAAAGTTATTATTATTAGTCCACAATCTGTATAAATCTGACCAAATTGGTGTTGTCAAAGAGATAGTTTGAATAAACACACATTTTCTAACCAATAATCAAAAACGGACACATAAATTTTGGTTTGTACTATACAATGTTTTGTAAAGACATTTTATAAAAATGTGTGTGAGAGAGTGAGTGACACACGGACAGAGACAGACGGAGAGAAGCACACTGATGGGTTATGAAAACTGTCAAAGAGACATGTTTCTTTGGTAGGTAGGAGAAACAGTAGTTCTCATTATTTGTATGAGCCCCCTTGGCCACTCCAGTGCCACCCTTTGCAAAAAAGTCTAGCTCCGCCCCTGAGCCTACCAGCAGGTTAAGATGATCCTGGCCCGGCTGCAGCAGTGTGACTGCCTTACAGCAAACTAAGGCTTGTATCACACAGTCCTTATTTTTATGACTTATTGGGGATTTTTTTTTTTAATCATCAGGATCCCTCCATACCTTGCTCAAAATGTAGATAGACTCTCCACGTTTGAAGGACAGCTCATCTGGTTGGCCTCCTACACAGTCCCATAAGCCCTGATAGTAGTTGGGGTAGTCTGTGCTCTTGTCAACTGGACAGAGAGAAAAGAAATAATGAAATAATTCATTATTTTCTACCAACATGTAGGTTGAGTGATGTAGACACGTGAGTGCGCAATGCGAGACATAAAGCAGGATTTAACAGAATTGTGCAACGAGGAAAGGAAGCTGCTTGTTTTCCTCTAAACTGATACACAGATCAAGACTTCACTACGCTGCTGATCGTATTTTCTACCAAAGGATACAACAAAAAACTTCTTAGCTCATGTTTTCATCTGAACTGGAGGCTTTTTCAGTTTGAGTGTTGATCGTGCATAAAATATTGAGACGAATACTTCTGAAACAGAAGATGTGCCAATTATTGTAAAAAGGAAGTTGAGGCAAGTTGGGTGAGGTTATTTCCAGAGTTGTGTTAACTTTCAGTTGTTCTCGGAAACTTCCTCTGAACGCCTGTAAACTTTGCTGTGGCCTTAGAGCAGTTGTTTTCTACAGACGGGTTTACTGATCTATTCCCAGCATCTGTAGAGAAAGTTATATTCTAACTCGCACTATAAAGTGAACAGGAATACCACGTATGTAAATTCATATATAGCAACAGCCCTGACAAACATTTTAATTTTGACCTGGACTGTGTAGCTGTGGCGACGAAAAGTGAAACAACACTCCGTTTAGTGATGGTGCATGTGTGTATGAAGTTTTGTTAAATTATATTGAACAGATCAGAGGTTATGGGCGGGCCAAGAGAAGTTGACTGACGGACGAATAGAGGATGGAGACTCTACCAAAATGTCCACCTTTCGACGGACGTATAAAATTAGGTCTCGTACCTGCAGGAGGAGGAGGAGGAGGAGTAGATTTTCTTGGTGGCTCGACCTTCGGAGGAGGCCTTCCTGGAGCAGGAATTTCATCTTCTGCAAGAACAAGATTAGTGAGCAGAACTTTGGCTCAGTGGATTTTCAAAATAAAAGTACAGTTTGTAAAGGAGCGGAATGCAATCGAACCTGGGAGCTCTTCGTAGATTTCATCATTTTCTTCACCTGCAGGTTCAACATTTCCTCTGACATTCCCAACATCATCATACATGTACTGTTCATCCTCGTCTTCTTCTGGGATGATCCCGGTCATATCTAACGGGAGCAAACGAGAATATGGAACGTTTGACAAACAAATACCCCTTACTTTTGTTTTTATTTGACCCTTTAGGTTGCTGGAATAATAAAACGCATATTTCACTAAGAATCTGAAGCGTCACGATGTGGAAAAGCTCCCACCTCGCAACACAAAGTCGATCTGCTTCACCCATTCCTCCGCCTCTTTCACCGATGACGCACAAAACTGCAACGAAAGAGGAGAAATGTGTAAATAAAGTGAAATAAATTAACACAAACAAATAAGATTACAGTTTGGCATTGCAAAACGTTACGCGAGGAAGAACTAAAATGTTGGGAGACATTAGGATGTTTTGAAAAAGCACATCGAATTTAAAGGTCTGCCCTTCATCTAGCCTTTCATGGCACAGTTTTCATTTCAGAGACACTTTTACTGGGAAATGACAGAGTTCAAGAAGTTTTGGTTGAATCGTGAAGCTCTAAATCTGACTGAGTTGCAGTCATTTATGCATTAGCCGTAGCAGCCATATTGAATTGGGTTGGCTCCAGAAGTGATTACTTTCTGAAAGTTTTGTTAAAATCCATCCTTTGGTTCATAAGAAATTTTGCTAACAGACAAACACAAAAACATGCTCTGTCCCTTGCCTTTCAGGGCAGGTGATGATGAAATTTGGGAGCGTCAGAAAGATGAGCATACCTGATAGACTCGCTTGTCTGGAGCTGAAATTTCAAAGCAGCAGTCCTTTTTCGAGTCTTTCCGTAAGCTGCTGTTGATTTTGACGGAGTAGCCATCGATATTGAACTCGCCCTTCTGCTGCTTGTCTGGTTACAGAAAGCAAAAGAGGCGCCATTGATGGTGCAGAACGTATAAAAAACACCGGGGACGACGTTCTCTCGGACACATTGAATTTACCTTTCTCGCTGCCGTAATAATAGAAGGTATGCTGGCTCAGAGCGCACCATCTCTTCTGCCACTCGATGCCAAAAAAGCTGTAATCTGTGCCGGGGAAGAACCGAACATAATTCTGGAGGTGAAACAGAATTTACGTTCTTGTTTTTAATTCACTCCTTTTTCTCAGTCCAACTACTTCTGCATACTTGGTGCCGTTTTAGCCATTCAAGAATGAAAACATTCCTCTCATTCCAGAGACGAGTGTCTTGACTTTTGTTTCCAGTAACATTTAGACTTTACAGAATTACTTTACAAATATTTTTCCAAAAGAAATAAATTGAGATGTCTTTTTCTTCAAAAAAAAAAAAAAAAAAAGTTATTTGAAATCTGCTTCAGCATACCAGATCTAATTTTTTTTCTAATGCTACTTTTAGCCTTTAGCTAGCCTTCTGTTACATGAAGCCAGCCTTTTGTTACTTTTTGAAAACTTTGTACTATATTTAGCTTTTAGCTAGCCTTTTACTACTTTGAACCAAAAGTGTGCAAGATTTAGCTTTTAGCAACCAATTTGTTACATTTAGCTAGCCCTTTGCTATTTTTAGATTTCTACCTACTTTTTTGCTTTTTTAGCCAACCTTGTGCTACGTTAACGTTTTAGCTACATCTTGCAACACTTTACTTTTAGCCTTTAGCTACCCTTGTTACTTTAAAAGTATGGCCAGCCTTTTGAAAGTTTTAGAAAACCTTGTACTATATTTAGTTTTACCTAGCCTTTTACCACTTTTAGCCAAAAAAATTGTACTAGGTTTAGCTTTTAGTTACAATTTAGCTACATTTAGCTAGCCTTTGTTGCTTTTAGGTTGATTTTTGCTGCTTTTAGCTAGCCCTTTTCTATTTTAGCTTTCTACCTAAATTTTTGCTCGTTTAGCCAACCTTCTGCTATGTTAAACTTTTAGCAACCTTTTACCATTTGGCAACTTTGACAAGCTCTTTGCTACTTTTAGCCTTTAGCTAGCCTTTTGTTACTTTAAGATTATAGCCAGTCTTTTGCAAGATTTAGAAAACTTTGTACTATATTTAGCTTTTAGCAAGCATTTTACTACTTTTAACCAAAATTGGGCTAGGGTTCGCTTTAGCTAGAAATAAGATACATTTAGCTAGTCCTTTGCTGCTTTTAGCTAGCCCTTTGTTATTTTTGGCTTTCTGTTTTGCTGTTTTAGCCAAACTGGTGCCACGTTAACCTTTTAGCTACCACTTTGCAACTTTAGCAAGCTCTTTAGCTTTTAGCTCTGTTTTTACAGAGCTAAAAACAATCAGCTAGTGTTTTTCTTTTGCCTTTTTGCTAGCATTTCACTTCTTTTAGTTTTAAAGACTCTGTTTCAGCTTTTTTCAGCCAATTTCATCCTCCTCCTTTAGCACTCAACATTCACACAGTGGACGTGCCGTCTCTCTAGTTGGAGTTCAGAGAAACCGTGTGCATCAGATCTCTCATATGAACAACAGCCCTCTACAGAAACAACGTGTTCATTGTTGAGCTAGTTGTTTGCAGTTTAAACACCTAACCCAATGATACACACTTAGTAGCTGTTATTTTTAATCAGGCCTGCTCCGACATAAACCTATTGTGTGAAAAAAGGTAAAAATTGAAAGAGAAGTCTTGAACTCTGCATCACTGACTTTAGAGCGCATCACAGATTAATTAGAGCTCACTTAAAAAGGAGCATTTTGTGTGGATTTAATGAGTAAAGCACCAACCTTTTCTGCGTTTCTCAAGATATCCTGCTTTAATGATGGACGTCAAGTCCTGCGCTGCCACAGGTGGGGACTGCTGAGCACCTGGAGAAGTGAATAGAACATTTTTTTTGTTTTAAAAAAAAGTTAAAAAGGGGAAGTCAGGGTGCACAAAGTTTGCCACTGTGCATTTGCTTATTTGGTAATTATTAACAGAAGAGGCCATGAAACCTCCATTGTCTCAACTCGCAGTTGAGGAAGTTTCTTTTGCAGCTTCAGTGCAAACGTCCAAGCACTGCGTCGAAGCTGCTTCGTGTGAAAGAGCGGCAATAAAACTGGCAGCTGCTTAGAGCCCGTAAACTCCAGACCCCTAATCACCATTCCACAAGGATCTCCCTGCTCCTCGGCTTTAAACAGCAACTATGAAATATTGCGTAGATCGTTATCGTGGAGCACGTTGGGTTTAAGTAGTTGTATGTTCGGCGTGAGGGGGACTTTTTCCAAAAACGACATCTATGGCTGTAATGTTCTACCCAGACTGTGGCTGAGAGCAGTAAAATAATGTGGTGCCTCCGCCTCCAAATTGCTTTCTAAGAATGTTGCCAAGTTACTTTTGGAATGGCTCCCTTGTGCTGCTCAGAGTCATTTTTCTGAGTCGGCTGGACACAGATTTGTGGATTTTCACGCCACTTTTCCAGATGTGGACCCACAGTCTGTTAGTATATCCTCAGTGTGTGTGTGTGTGTGTGAGTGTCTGTGTTTTACCTTCACCTGCGTCGTCATCCTTGTCTGTGCGCTCAGACTGCAGCGACGCTCCATCATTGTTGCTGTCAACTTCCTCCGAGTCATCCGAGTCATCAACACCTGCAGTGAAACATGAAGCCGTTGAAGCACTGGTGCATGCTGGGTAAAACTGAAAAATGTCACTGGATGTACAAATACAAAAAACAAACAAACAAACAAAAAAAAAACCTTCAGAAGTTCACCTGATTCAAGACAATTGTCACTTTGAAAAACACAAAAATGACTGTCAGCTCATGTTGCAGACTGACCTGAAATTTGATGTGGTGGTAGCCGAGAGTGATCCCCAGAACAGTTTCTGACTGTGTAAAATCTGTCTAAATGTTGCCATTGACCATTTGGTGTCATTTTTGTCTTAGCAAATTATATCTTAAACTGCACCAAATCCAAAATAAGCTTTCAGAAAGTAATAATAGGCAGCATGGTGGTGCAACTGGTAGAGCTGCTGCCTCTCAGCGAGCAGGTCCCAGGTTCAAATCCCAGTCCAGAGGCCTTTCTGGGTGGACCCTGCATGTTCTCTCTGTGCATGAGTGGGTTTTCTCCAGGTACTCCAGTTTCCTCCCACAGACCAAAAACATGCATGTTAGACTGATTGGTAACTCTAAATTGTCCCTAGGTGTGAGTGAGAGAGTGATTGGTCGTTTGTCTCTGTGTGTCTCTTTGATGGACTGGAGACCTGTCCAGGGTGTGCCCCGCCCCTCGCACAGTGTGGACATGGGCACCAGTGACCCTCGTGACACAAAATGGAAGAAGCAGATAAAGATAAATGGAAAGTAATAATTAGATTTACCTCAACATTTGATTAAATTTTAAAACAAATCCAATTCAAGATGGTCGCCCCAGCACACTAACCTCCAAACAAGATAGTGGTTATAATTTGCTTGATTTAGCACGTTATTTTAAAAAATGTTTTCATTCATTCAACCTTTATTTAGACAGGGAAATCCCATTGAGCCTCGAGGACTCATTTACAAGAGAGACCTGATTAAAAAAAAAATTTGGTGCAATTGTGGCTGAGTGTCATTCAAAATACACACTTTAAATGATACTTATTGAAGAAGGTCTTTGTTTAAGCACTACCTGTTGGCATCCCCCCTGTTTATCTGTTAGCAAAATATCTCAAGCGCCACTCAAGGGATTTCAATGAAACTCTCAGAAAATATCCATCAGATGTACTTCTTCATATAATTACGTTGTGGGGTCCGTCTATTTTAAGACAGCTGCTACATCTAATTGTCTCTAGCCAGTACAAAAACGGCCATAACTCAGTCAGTTTCGCAGATATTGAGAAAAAATTTGGCGTGGTAGTAGCTGAGAGTCATTCCTAACTCAGACTTGGAGTGGGACATCCCTTATAGTTGCAGGAGATCATACATGCATACATACATACATGCATGCATTCTCTGGGATTAATAAAGTATCTCTGGGATTAAAGTATTTTTGAATTGAACAACACTGTTTTTGAAGGTTTAACCAAAAACACAAGACAATATAAAGGTGTCAGTGTACAATTATGTCCTGAAACGTGGCTCTATAACTTCTTCCTTCAAGGAAAACTCAACCTTTAATTTTTAAAGAATGATAAATGAAACTGATAAATTAAATCTATAAAAAGACACCATATCGCACAACAGGAGCATATTTACATGACCCTCTAGATTAATGATTCCCAATAAAGTCTCAAACCAAATGAGTAAAAGATGATGGACAATAAAAACAAGAAATACTCACTTTTGTCCTTAAAATCTTGCGGGAAACTGTTGGGAAAATAGCAAATGGTCTTAAAATGACGCATTATGGGAAAGAAAATATTATTTCTGTAAAAATGTGTGTGAAAGCCAGTTCGTACCTTAGTTTGACCTCTTTGATTCGTTTAATGAGAGTCTCCCTCCTGTCCTTTGACTTCTTGCTCAGAGTTTCTCCCTTTAACCCATCACAGAGGAAGTTCTCCAGATCTGAACAAAACGTGCCAGACTAATTACTGGCATGTTGTCAGAGGACACCACGAAGACAAGCTTGGAAATTTAACCTCACAGAATTCAGGTGCGAGAAAAATGGTAATTACTGAAATTCAGAGATGAGTTTCTGACATGAACATCAGAGGTTCCTCTTTTTCAATAAACTTCATGTCTAAGCGAAAAAAAGCTGCATGAAAATGCATGAAACTTTAATCGTAATAATGATAAATGTGCTTACCTGAAATGAGCGCAGTTAACTCCTCTGGAATCGCGCGCATGGTCACCAGAGGTTAGACGGAGCCCGAAGCGACCGAGCAGAAAGGAGCGTCGCGCACACGGAAGCAGCTGCAGCTCTTCAGCCACACGGAAGTCTCTCTGCTGAATGTTTGACCACGCAGTTCCGCATCATGACCAGCACTGGTTTCACTCCACACAGACAGGAAGCTGAGGTGTTTATGGGCCTTCACGGAATGTAATGTCTGAGCAGCTGCGTCATATTTTTGATTGATTATTGCCAATATTTCTGTCGCTTTTTAACGTGGTCGCTGCTTCTCACTCTTTTTTTTATGATCCTGGTGTTAAGCACTTTGAGTTTATGGATGCCAGGCTGTAAATTGAAACCATTAAAAGCCTGTTACTGAATCACTCAAGATGCTTTAACGATGACAGGATCCTATTGTCCAACAGGAATCATCTCCTTTTTTTTAGCCCACAGTGGTCAGAAGTTTCCATTCACTCATGTTGGACATGTATGGATTCATTTGAGGGGGTTTCTTGGTTGATAAGAACCTTATTTTGTCCAGAGCGGAATCATTTTACAACATCCAACACTGAACAAGAAGCTCGCGTTTGAATTTGTTGTGGATCTTCTCATCATCACAACTGGAGATAAACTGGTGCTGAAGGTTCTGTCTCTAAACTTGATAAAACCAAAGCTACTTCCTGTTAGTGTGCATGATAGGTTTTCCAAAAATAAAACGATTTGTTTAGCAGCTCTTATTGGATTGACCAAATACTCTGACACCTCCAGATGAACTGGAATTGCACCAGACAGGGCTCAACCTGCAGCAAACTGCTGGAACACCAGTGTCCCCTGTCCCCTGAAGACAGTTTACATCACCAGGTTGACAGGGCGCTGACCACAAGAGGACACTTTCTGGTCAGACGAGACGTAGACGGAGCTGTTCGGCTCCACTGACTTCATATAGATGAGGTGGAACCAAGGTGATGCTTTCAGCTCTACTTGTCAGGCATGGTGGTGGCAGCATCATGCTGTGGTCCACAAAGGGGATGGAATAATGAAGAAGAACCTTCAAATTCTTCGAACTCGCCTCAGATCAACTGCTTTCTCAAAACACTGAATTCAGTTCTGTTACAAATGTGCGAACTAAACTCAAAAGCTGCATCTTGTGCCAGAAAACCAACCAGTTCAGATGAACTCCGCCAGAAAGGAATGGTCAAATATTCAACCAGAAGTAGACCAGAAGGTTGTTAAAAGGCCTGTGGTTGGGTTGTGATCCATTAAGAGACATTTAACCAAATGTTAGTGAGATGTGTGTGTGTGTGTGGGGGGGGGGGGGGGGGTACTTGAGCCTGTTTAAATATGACTCTGTGTTTTAGAGAAAATACATAATTGAAACTTGTACATCCATCCATCCATTATCTTTACCCACTTCTTTCTTTCTGGGTCGCAGGGGTCACTGGTGCCCATAGGTCACTGTGTGAGAGGCGAGGGACACCCTGACAGGCGTAAGTCCATCACAGGAACACATAGAGACAAACGAGACAAGCAAACGTTCTCACTCACACCTAGGGACAATTTAGAGTTACCAGTCAGCCTAACATGAATGTTTTTGGTCAGTGGGAGGAAACTGGAGTACCCGGAGAAAACTCACGCATGCACAGAGAGAACATGCAAACTCCACCCAGAAAGACCCCCTGGCCGGGATTTGAACGGGTAACCTTTTTTGCTGAAAGGCAGCAGCTCTACCAACTGATCCACCATGCTGCCTCATATGAATAGTAGAAAACTAGAAGCTTTTGTTTTATTTATCTTTTTAACTCTTAGCAGCCATTTTTTTCAGACGCAACTGTGAAACTGCACAAGTCACATTTTGGTGAATGTTTCTTTAGCATCAGTACAGCTCCACTGCTGCAGGCTTTAGTCGTATAAATTAGTGTAAGTTCTTGTCTCAGCACGTTTCTTCTGAAACTCATCGCGTTTTCACTAAACCTCAACAAAAACATCCTGCAGGAAAAGATGGAGGTAATGTCTTAACTGTTCAGTTTGACTCCTGTTTTATTGTGACGTCACTTCCTTTCAAAAGCGGAGCCCCTCCTGACCCGGCAGTAGTTCCCTCCCAGTTTGAAGAACAGAAGAGAGCCAGGTTGACCTCTGACCTCTGTCTTTGCCTGTGTGTGTGCAGAGGGAGGGTCTACTTTCCCATAAAGCTTCATCTTCCTCCTCAAGCTCCACATTCTGTTGCATCACACTCCTTGTTTGTAATGTTACAAATCAGCTTCAACAGATCTGTTGCTCTGTGAAAAAGCACAAGTCTGAAGCAGACACCGAGCTGCTGACGGTGCCGTTCTGTAACGACCTTTAGTGGTTTTCCTACAACATCCTGTGAGGTTTTTAAAGCCCCTGCCTTGTTTTCAATTAGGCTAATGCACAATTAACATCACATAAACAGCAATATTCAATAGGAGCTGGCATCCATCGCCTGCCTCTGCATTTCCGCTTAACACTCAAACCGTCAGCTCGGCCGGCAGAAGAGTTTATCATGTTGATCTTAAATGATACCTCTGCTTTCATTTGCAGCTGCCCTGCAGCACTGAAACGTCTCAGAGCTGCAAGAAAATAAATGCAACCTTCAACTGTAAATAAGAAGCAGAAATGGCTCAGTTTGATCTATTTATCTCAATTTAACCAGGAATTTATTACAAATAAATGAAGCAAACGAGCCAATATTATGCTGTCGGGTCGATGGCTCTTATATTAGTGTAGAAGATATAAACCAGATTCATTTAGAAAATTGTGTTGCTTTAAAAAATTTTTTGTCTAAAACACATTTGAGGGATTTCCTCATTCAGAAATCTTGTTCACACACACACACACACACGTACTGTGAGTTTTATAGGCAATAAAATTTAATGAGAAAAACAAGAGAAGTCACCGCTTTAGGCCATATAAGAGATATTTTTACCTAAATGTATTCAGGCTATTGTCCTCTGTTTTATTATTTTAATTAATTTTATTCAGAACTAACCTGTAAAAGCAAAGCGATCCCAACAAAAACAGCCTCAGCTGCAAATATGGAAATAGAACATGCAGCTATAACTATAAAAGAGATGGAAATGCATCAAAAGACACTTTTAATGCAAAGCTTGGGTGGATTTAAAGTTGCGTCATCCTTTGTGACATATTTTGATTTATTTTGTTAATGTTGCATCCTTCACAAGATTTATCAGATTATTGATAAGCCCAAATCCTCCAGTTCTCTCCCGTCAATAAACACATAAAAACGAAAAAGAAATAAAACCAATGCGTGCTCGTTTGCATCACGTTTTATTAGCAAATTTAAAAATGGTCTAAAATCCACACAAGACATATAAAATTATATTTTGAGTCCTAATGTGCAGCTTTCCTCCTTTGACTCACCTTATTGTGAGATTTGTGACAGATCCACAATTTAATAAATGAAACGTTTCGGTGAGCTTCAAGGACAAGGTCCAAAGACGAGTCGACCAAAGCCGGACTCTGCTGAGCCTGAAGGAGCCGAGGAGGAGAGGAGTCCGGAGGAGGTGCTTCACGCTTTTCTCCTCCTGCACCGACTCCCCTCACTGTGCGGGGCGTTGCGGTGGTGTGGCGGGTCTCACTCTCTGCGGCTCCTCCGGATTGTGGTTCTCCAGCCTGCATGTTGTAGAACACCACACTTCACCATGTCTCCAGCCTCCTGCTCCTCCAACACTCTGGGGCACCTCAGGGAAACGGAAAAGAGTAAAAAAAAAAAAAAAAAACATATTGAAGCAGGAACGCACGAGGAGGGGGGCACGTGGGGTAAAACGTGTCGTTAGAACCAGGACTGGGCCAGATTTATGACAGGACAGAGGCTGCAAGATGAATGCAAATGCCAACTGCTGTCCCGTGTAGAGTAATCTATCACTCTCCATTACTGTCGCACATTACGCTGCTGCACTGCACCACGAGACCTCCACACACTGAGATTATCGTAAAACGGGACACGCACACAGCTCCAAGCAGAGACAGGCAGTGAGGAGCCTTTTGTTTTGTAAAGATTGGTGTTATTAATCATGGCGTCTTGCCTTGGGGGGGAGGAGAGAGAAGGAGTCTGAAGCAGAAGGAGCAGCAGTCTGGCTCCTCTCTTCCAGAGACGCAGCCTGCGGCGCGCTGCAGCGGCGGAGGTGAGGGGGGCTCTGCCGGGGCTCAGGCCCGGGATGCTCTGCGGTTCAAAGGCAGGAGGAGAAGGAGGAGGTGGAGGAGGAGGAGTTTGTGCTAACCGAGCAGCTGTTGATTGATGAACTTTGAAAAGCATCGAGTCAGTGAAAGTTGACTTTCTCTGCTGAATCCGTATCTCCTCAGGAATGATTTAAAAAATAAATAAAAAACTTGAACAAGCTGTTGTAATGATCATGAACCTGGTGACAGTGCTGTGGACCTGAGTTATCATAAAGTGTTGCTGTCATGAAGACATGGATGGAATGAGACGGAGCAGCTGTCACATGACTGCGTCTGTCCAATGACAGCTCAGACGGTTTGTTTAAATATGTGATGGATCCAGAAAGTTTGTGAGATAATATCTCATTCTATGGGGGGGGAACTATATTGACATATTTTGTAAGTGGGGGCTCTATTTGTCCACCAGTGCTCTCCAGCTCGCAATGGAGAGTTGAGTGAGTCACCCAAACTCCTGCGTTTTCTGACTGGTGTTATTCACAAACCATTTGTATTGGACACACACAGTCCTTCTGATGTGCAGACCCCCCCCCCCCCCACACACACACACACACACACACACACACACAAAAATCAGACCAGATAAATGACACTGAAGATTATTATGATTGAACTAATTGTCTGAAAAAAGGGGCAGATATAATAAGATTTTTTCTTCTTTCTGCTGCCTTTCATTTTGAATCTCTTGTATATTTTTAATATAGTTTATGGAATTGTTTTGTTTTGTTTTTTAAAATGAATAAACTTTATACCATACCATATACCACACTGAAGTTTACTTGCGATTTGAACGTGGTAAAGAGCCATTCCTCTGATTTTCTTAGTGTCTGGTCCATCAATGAGTCGTTGTATCTCAACACTGCAAACTGGGTTTCAAATCAAATTGACTAAAACACACGTTGAGATCTGGGAACCAGTTATAATGTTCATGAAATTTCAAGAAAGTTCATTTTGGTGTTTTGTTGCACGTTAAAACAGACTGGTCCCGAACTTAATGATTTTTACTGAAAACCCATTCTTTAAAACAAAAAGGAGGAAACACCAAGAAAAGCTTTTCAATCATTTATATATTTTTTTATTTTCACAAAAACAAAAAAATGTGTCACGGATCACAAACTGTTTTAAGAATTTACTTTTACTATGAAATAACTTACAATTAGACCAGACGTGTAAACTAGATCAGTTAGTTCTAATGTGGCCCAGATAAATAAATAAATAAATTTCTTAAATCAAAGTGTCCTAAATCACATTTTTTTCCAATAATCTCCGTTTAGAAATAAAGTTTAAATATTTGTTCCGTTAAAATTTTTGAAGTAGAGTTGATGAAAATGCATTAAAATTGAGCGGAATAGCCCTTTATCTTCTGAAGCCTCAGTTGGAATCGTAAGCCAACTTCTTAATTTCTAAAACTTTTTTAACAGTTAACCAACAATGCGTTAACATAAATCACATTTAAAAAATGCTATTAAAATAAGTATTTCTTGGCAAAACAACTGATTATAAATAAATTGTATAAATCCCACAACTTTGGTGCAACTTTCATTTATGTAAAAGTTTCTTTGAAATCATCGGAACGACGCAGACTTGACTCTGCTGGGTGAAGCTGCAGGAAAGGTGGAGATGTGATGACTAAACAAAGAGCTGCAGCAGCCATGCACGTGATCATCTTTCAAGGAAAAAGGTCTGACAGCTGCCTGCCAGAACCCATCACAGCCCTCAGATCATCCGTGAGGGCAGTCTCTGCTTCCAACCTCTCTGAGAACGGATGGAGAGCTTTTACGCACGAGTTTTTTCATGAAATTTATGTTGACGCAAATGAAAAATCCTCGTGAGATTATGAAGAACTCTCTTCTTTTTTTATTGGAGCATAAAATTGGGGAACTGGACTTTGGTTCAGACTTTTAAAACGAAATTTATTTTATTTTATTTAAAGAGTCAGTGGTTTGAGGTGAGTGGTGTTCAGGGATCCTCGTGCACCTTTCTGACTCCAAGTTTCAAAATAATTCAGCAAATGTTTGAAATGTTTGCTTGAAAAAGCAAAAACAATTACATTTTTGATTAATCTGTTCTAAATATGAGGCAGACTTTATATATGTTAAATTCTTAATTTTATCCAAAAGACAAAAGAAAAATGAAAAATATGCCAAAAAAGGTCAAATAATCCAATTGTATTTTAATTTAAAGTTGATGTTTGGTCGTTTCTGCAAGTTGAAGCTTTAAACAAGGAAAAAACAAAGATACAAACTCCATAAATAAAACATATTTATGACAGAAATGTGAATGTATTCTTCCTCCAGCTTTTCTTTGCAGCTTGTGCGCGCAGCCGGAGTGTCTTGATGACCAGGAGGGGACACGTTCCCCGTCTGTTCCCCGAAGACACGAGACATCTGCGAGACAAGACAAATATTCTGGCAGAGAATATTTCTGTCATCGATGCTTCTTTTACTCAGTGCAGATGTTCCTGATAATAAAAAGCTGACAGATTACTAACTGTGTGTCTGTTTTTAAATCTTCATGCTTTGTTTCATGTGAAATACGCATTTATGACAGAAACATGTCTGACAGGCAGGATGGATTGATGGGACACACAGAAGATTAAAGGGGTTTTGCATCTTTTTCTCGTTGTTAACGCTGCAGGGTAATCAGATTACATCCAGTGTGCTCGTGTGTTTACATGGTGCCTCCTAAGAAATCTGAAACTGACCTTCTCACCCATTGGATGGAAGCTGATCTGCCTCTGCAGCTTGCTCTCATGGTATGCGTAAAGGTGCATTGTCGCCACTTTTGGCACATTTTTGCGCGCCATTTGCGCATGTTTGACAAGTCGCTTTAAGTTGTAAAAACGACACAATGGTTAAAAAGCAGGAAGCCATTCCCTATAATAATATTATACAAAAATTAACTAACTGTGTCTTGAAACCAGAGTTTTTCACATATTTTACCTGCAGGTGAAGTCAAAGGCAAAAATAAATGTAATTAATGGTCTCTCAGATGCATATTTACAAGAAAAACCCTTAAAGTTGATGTACTATTATTATTGTTGGTGTAGTTGTTGATCATATTTATAGTAATAATAATAATAATAATAATAATAATAATAATAATAATAATAATGTTTTCAGAGGCAAATTCATCAAACTCTGACGAAGTTCAAATCCCTCCACTGGTTCTCTGAATATTATGCTAACAGGGAGACATGGAGACAGAGCTCAGACTGTGTGTTGTGACTTAAACTGCCATACCAACGATTAACTTTATTCTGTAAAATCATCAGAGAGACTTTTTTTGTTTGTTTTATGGCAGCCATCTTGAATTTGATGAGATTGATCAGTTTTACAATCAATAATCTGAAATCCTTCGGTTCATAAGATAATTTGCTGACATGAAAGACAAGTGAACACACACACACACACATGCTCACAGAGGCAACAACATAATCTCCCCCTTGCCTTTGTGTGTTAACAACAAAGCAGAAAAATGTGAGTTAGCTCTTAAAACTAAAATAAAAAGTTTAAAATGTCAATAATCTGCATCAATCTGAGGCATAATCAGTATAAAGTTTATTCCAAACAGGTTCTTGATGTATGTATGTGTGTGTGTACCTCCTCTTTTATATAAACTCTGGGATCAAACAAACTGTTGGTTGAGGAGGTGAAGCTCCTCTGTCACCTCCTCTGTCTGCGCTGATGTTGAGGCCTGATGCTCAGAGGTCACTAAAGGTCACCACAAACAACTTCCCTGCAGCTTCTTGTTCCTTCAGCAAGTTGAACTCGTTGCTTACAGACAACATTCATTCTAATATTTATGATGCTCAGAGAGGAACTACTTAGAGAAGTTTGACTGATTCCCCAGTGTTTTATTTATTTATTTTTTTAATTTGGGGAATGATCGTAGAGTGAATTTGCAGCTTCAGTCTGATTACTGCAAACATGGACAAGGCTCAACAAGATGAAGGCATCCGAGTAATTAAATCTCAGTTGTTATAAGCGGTGAAGCCCATAATCCCTTAATCCTTTTAAGCATCTGAAAATGTGATTAGAAGTTTAATATTCACGAAAATTAACGAAACACAGCTGCACGCGTTTAAGTAAGAGCACCAAAACATCAACAAGAAGAAAGTGTAGTCATTTCATTAAAATAAGAAGTTAGATCGAGAAGTAAAACTTGGATTTAATCGGACGCGGATCATTAATGAGAGAATAAAGAAGCTAATAAAGAAAAGCGCCGAGCACAATTAGGTGTTTTGACAAAGTGATGCTCCTCAACCAGAGGTGTGGGGGGAGGGGTGCACCTGAACGCGTCATTCACTTTTATGATGTGCCGCTGGCGCCCCCTGCTGGTTGTCTGAGCGCAGCAGCATTCCTCCAGCTGACCACAAGAATCCAAACGAGGTTTACATTAGACACAGACTTTTTTACTATTATTTAAAATGTAATCTACAGAGGTTCGTTTAAAATAAGTTCATTTATGAGTTATTGTAGTGATGTGATGAGAGGCTGCAACAAAACAACAGGCGGATGTTTCTGCTCAGAGACAGTCCGGCTGTTGCAGACGGCTGTAAAGCAATTACACTTTTTCTTTTTTTTTTTTAACAGACCCATCTGCAGTCCTGCAGTAAAACCTCCACCACATTCTGGGTGTCTTTGTGCCGCAGCCTCTGTTTCCCTCCAGCAACATTTTCCATCTGACTGGTGAGCCTGGTCAGAAATGCTGCTGCAGCCATTTCCACACCTTATAAACAGGCTGGGGTTGCTGGGAGGCAGAGCTGGAGATCACAGGATGAACATTTTCACAAATACCTGCAAGATTCTGCTGCAGGACTGTGGGCGGAAACCATAAACCTTGGAGCGTCTTTATTCTGCGCTAAAATGCTCATTTGTTGCCAAATTTTTAGCTGAAACCTTTATGGAAGATAATTTAATGCATCTTGTTTATAACAAATAAACATATCCAGCAGGGTGTTTTATTATTTTAACTTTATTAATAGAGATTAGGTTTGACGAGCTTTAAATAAAATTTAAAAAGTTTGTTGTGTACGAATTTCAGCTGGAAAACTCATTTATGTGAGTTTAAGTTCAACTGAATGGAATAAAATAAAAAGTCTGGATCATGTTATTATATATAATAATAATAATAATAATAATAATAATAATAATAATAATAAATTTACAACGTTTGTGTAATTCTCTTTTTGTTCCAACGTTCCATAAGAGATCAAACTTAAACGTGCTAATTTCCATGTTATTAATATTCTATTTTTCTTTACTTTTATTTTTTTTTACTTTTATTTTTCTTTCTTTATTTATTTATTTATTTAGGGGAAAAAGGAAATAACTTCTTTAAAAAGAACTCGGAAACATTTTACAGAAACAATATATTTTTTAATTTAAATATCGCAGATTCTTGTGTAAATTTTAAATTAATCTTGGAATATTACTTTTACTTTCTTCAAATGTATAAATTAGTAGCATAGCTGTACACTGTAAAACTAAACTTAAACACTTAAAACACTTAAAAAAAAATGAACGAGGTATTTGAAATGTGCGCATTTTCCCACAAATGCATTCAACCCAAACTGTTAAAAACACTTAAGGTTTGAAAAACACCGACTGAAACAACGCATAGGTAGCTTCAAAACATTCAGGTAGTCCAGGATCGTTTCATGCATCCAACAAAGGTTAAAGCGCAAAAATACAAGACACCTAAACGCATCACGACACAGTTTGTTCTCTCACAAAACATGAAACACTAAATAATACTGATCATAATAAACCAGCGCAGCATTTTACCAACACTACTTACAACAACAACAGGTTAGGAATAATAAAGACCTCCTTCTTTCTTCTATTTGCTCAAAAAAAAAAAAAAAAAAAAAACGTTTCAGCTTTGTTTCCGCCGCTCTTTGTTTTCCTTCTTCATCTTCATCCTGCGGTTCTGGAACCAGATTTTTACCTGCCTCTCGGTCAGATTCAGAAGTCTCGCCACTTCGTACCTCCGGTCCCGGGGGAGGTACATGTTAAAGAGAAACTCCTTTTCCAGCTCCAGGATTTGGTGCTTTGTGTAGGGGCAGCGCTTCTTCCTGGTGGGCTTTGCGTGCAGCCAGTTGGATGAAGGATTATCTGAGAACATAAGCACAACAATATAAATATTTATCTGCAAACAGGACAAAAAAATAGAGTTTAAATACTTAATTAAATATTGTGTGCAAAGGAAAAGGGATTAAAAATTATTTTGATGAAAAAAAACGCGCTTTTCATCATTATTTATGTTAATTAAACCCATTTTAATCACTTTGCAGTTTAAATATATAAATGGAATCAAGCTATAACTCCTGTCATGGTTTCCTGAAAATAAATAAATAAATGAATAAATAAATAAAAAAGAAAGAAAAGCGTTCTTACTCGCATCTGTTTTCTCTGCCTGCTTCTCCTCGGCGGCTCCGGACGCGGGGGAGGTTTGGATCTCCGCGAGGCTCGCTCCGCTCTCAATGTCAGACAAAAGAGGAGTGTGCGTCTCCAGAGTGGCGCAATCTGCGCCGGAGATCAGCGGCTCGGGTTTGATGTCGTAGTGCGGGATCCCCGCCAAACACAGCGACGCCGAAACCGGCTCCAGCGCCCAGGAGGAGCGCGCGAACACGCCGTCGCAGTCCCCGCTGGCGTACTGGTGGTGATGGATGTAGGTCGGGGCGGCCGCGCTCGGAGCCGTGACGCTGCTCCAAGATCCGCCAAAAATGGAGGCTTTCGCCTGCAAAGTCTCCTGTCCGCCATATTCACTGACCGCCTGCTCCACCCCCGCTGCAGCTGATGGGTACCTCGGTGCCATCATGTCCTCCTGCTCCGGAAGAATGCGAGAGTCCACATAGTAGCTGGTCCCTAACGTCGACATTGCAGGAAACAAAATAATAAATCACAAAGCATGCACATAAAACTAAAAAAAAGGGGGTTAGGGTGTTGCAGGGTTGGAATTCATTGCATTGTATGGATGCTGCTTTCCTGCAGGAAGCTCCAGTAAGAATGTGTCCAAATCTGGATAGGGCGCCCCGAAGCACGTGACCGTGGGACAGAACAATAAATAATAAATCAGCCTGCAAGGGCCACCATTTTCCCCCCACTACATTTTAATAGCAAATCCCCGCGCCTTTACTGGCAAATATTTCCTTTTATAAGCAATAAACGTTATGATTTTTGTCAAGAGATCCTGTTTTAGTGCGGCTCGATGGTGGGAACAAGGACGTTCCTTTAAAAATGATTCAACAACAAGACGTGGAAACTGATGCAGCCTGTTGGTGAATGAGAGAAGAACCAAATGCTTTAAACACTTTTAGCCTTCCTGTTTCAAAGGGATGAAAGATTAAATGATGGTTGAGGGTTTTTTTGTTGCACCTGAGGGACACTTGATACGCACATGCGTTGCGTGGATCCAAGTGGGTCCACTTTGAGGCGATCAGAAAGCGCGCTGGAGTTATTTGGGTGCTGTATAAGCCTCCTGTTTTATCACGGGCAATTGGGTTGTTTTTCTTCAGGTTACAACCTGGCTAAACTAAATACCCCCCAATAAAGCTCGGCCTTTGTGTCCTCTTCTCTGCTCAACCAGACGCATCCGTTTTTTTTTGTTTTTTTTTTTGTGTTGTTTTTTTTTTTCGAGGCAACTGCAATGATCATAACCGAGGCCTTGTCTGTCCTTCTCCTCCTAGACTTCTGTGCGTTTTTATGTTCATTCCCCTTCTTCCCTGCATCGCTTGATCCACCATGTTGGCGAGACAGACGCGGTGAAATAGCGTTTTAACAGTTTGAGAGAGAGAGAGAGGTGCGTTTTTACGCGCGGCCATAAAACGCTTTATTTCACATGTTGAGGCTGTATTTTATTTTTTTTTTTTTTTTAGGGATTGAAGCGTTTTGTAGCAAACAATGAAAATAATATGATCACGTGTTTTGTTTTGGCTTCAAGAGGGGATTTGCTGAAATATTTAAGACGTGCGTTTGAGGAAAAAGCTAAAGAATATGCACGAGGAACCACGCAACGGCTTGTTGTTTTAGGTAAAATATTATTTATAAGTAATTTAATTTTGGTTTTAATGTGAAGTAGGCTTATAGGAAGAAAATGTTTGTTAATTCTGGTAGTAAAATTTTATCTCTAATCCTCCTTTAGAGACCAATATTTGGGTTCACGAATTAGTTTTTTAAGGAACTTGATCTCTATATTTTATAATGTTTGAGTATTATCAATGCATTTTAATGCGTTTCGCACCTAATAACTATGTATGTATCTTGAAGCAACAGCTTGTGTATTTACAGGAGAAACAAATAAAACAAATCACAGTTTTTGCGCATTTACGCACAAGCGGCACGCGCAGCCATAACTGCGTAACTCCGTAATATAACAGCTGCAGCAAATCTGACTGCACTCCAACTCCAGTCACTCAAAGAAAGATAACTTTTTGTCATATTTTTCTGTGACAGGGTAAAGATGAGAGCATCACACACAGTCTGGCTTTGGGAGAGAGATATAAGACGCCTGCGGCTGCAGGGAGGACTTTATTCATCTGACCAGCAAAATGTGCAAATATTCAACGAACCTCCGCGGGTTCTTCAGCTTCAACATAAAAAGTTTTACATGTAAATGTAGAACAAATATCCCAAAGGGTCAGTCCAGCATGCAAACTCCACTCAGACTCAATACACAGTATGTACACGCTGCTCTGACAGAATCTGAACATTTGTTACAAATGGAACCAAATACAAATCCACGACCAAAGAACTCAGACGTGAAAAGAAAAAGTTGAAACAGCAATAAGTTAGCCGTAAATACACATATTTATACATTCCATGGACATTCTCTCAGCTGGGAGGGGCCGGCGTCCTCTCCATGGATGAAGGTCTTTTATTTGATTTTGTCTTCTTTAGTTTTTTCCCCCGACAGTCTCAGGAGAAAGTGAAGTTGGTGGAGAGCTCTCGGATCCGGTTCTCCCGGCTCATCTTTTTCAGTTTCATCCTCCTGTTTTGGAACCAGATCTTGACCTGCCTGTCGGTGAGGTGCACGCTGCGGCTGATCTCCAGACGGCGCTCCCGCGTCAAGTACATGTTGAAGAGGAACTCCTTCTCCAGCTCCAGGGTCTGGTGTTTGGTGTAAGGGCAGCGCTTCTTCCTGCCGCTCTTCGCTGTGAGCCAGTTGGCCGTGCTCTCCACTTTCCCATCTCCTGAAAGCAAAGAAGCAAAATGTTAGCAAGAAAAAAGTAAAAGTGACAAACTGCGTTCCAAGCGCGCAAAATGCGCCGTTCAAGTGCAAAAAAAAATCTGGACCTAAATTAGACTTGTTTGGCTAAAAGCGAATGTTTAATTTGTTTATTTGGAAATTTTAGAGTTCTGTCGGATGTTGTGAATATGATCTCCAAAATCATTTTACGCACAAATCTGAGTGGCTGCATGAACCTGATGATAACCACACAGGAAATAAAACAAGCAGAAAATGAGATTTGATCATGAGAATCACATTCATTTCTTTTATTTTAGAATGACGCACGGAGCATCTGATCACATTTAACAAAACTACATTGCAGGATGTCTTCAGATGAAAGTGAAGGATGGGGTTTTTTTGTTTGTTTGTTTGTTTTTAGTTGTTGGACTTTTGGAGGAAGGACACAGAAAAATATAAGTGCTTTGCAGGAAAAAAGACAAAAAATCACTTGAAAAAAATTAAACTCTGAAAAGGGCCACGGGTGGAGTTCCTGCTAATTGTTTTACTAAGTAATAAATAACCGTCTAATTTATACTTAATTAAAATATTAAAAGCTCAATAACGGGTTTGTTGCCTATTGCTTGTTTCCAAAACAAGCAAATGAGCACAATGAGTCCAATCCTCGGCTCTGATTGGTTAAGTCGTGCTCATATTTGTCTCAGTCCAAACAGAGAGAGCCGTGAAGGCCTGGTTCACCTGAAGAAGTGCAGTGAGGGGGAAACAAAATAAAAACACTAAATCTGGGCGTTTTATTTTCTTCACCTTTCACGCTTTTATCTGGACACTCTGAGCTGCGCGTCTCTGCTGGCTCCGGGGAGCAGGACCTCTCCGAGGACAGGCGGCTGTCCTCCTCTCTGGCTGGTGCGCACCGGAGCGCAGAGCCAGCCGTCGGCGCCTCCTCGTGGTTCTCCGTGCGCTCCGGCTCCTGGGAGCCAGGTTGGGGGGTCTGGGAGGGATGGCACTCCGGGAGGGCGGCTCGCTTCAGATTAAAATGAGTCATGTTGGGTTGAATGTCGTGATAAAGCCTGGAGGACGTGTTGTAAGTCTGAGACAGCCGGAAGTAGCCCGGCACTGGCACGGTGCCGCCACCGCCGCTGGAATAGGAAATGTCATCTACCGTGACTCCTTTAGGACATTTTTCAGCCTCGTAAAGGCAGCACGCGCTCTCCTCCTTGATGCTTGGTGAGAATGAACACTGAGCCAAGTGCTGGGCGCCGGGCGGATCCACCCTGCAGGACCTGGACGTCTCCAGCCACGTCTCCATGCCCTGCGCGTACGCAGTAGACGAGGGCACCGCGCTTTGGGTCGTCGGCTCGCTGCGCTTCCCGAGCGCCGGGAAACAGGAGCCACCGGAGAGTCCATACGAATATTCCGAGCCCGGGGCCAAATACAAACTGTTGGTCTGGTAATACGGAGCCGCGTCGGCTCTCACGTTGATCAGGGAGTCCACAAAAAAAGAGTTTCCAGTCTGGTTGTTGGGACATGACATCGTCGCGCTGAAATTAGGATGAAGATGACCCTCTGCGGCTGACATTTCTTGTGCAAAAACATTGCTGAATAATTACTGCTCCTCGCGCTTCTCACTGAAGTCTGCAGCCAATTAAAACAGCAGGCGGCTGCAGACTCCTCCCAGACTCAGCTCCTCTCTGTCACAGAAAAAAAACCCAGCGCGGTTTGACTGTACAGGTCCTCGAGGTATTGTTGACCTGCAGAGATGAGGAGCTGCTGGGGATGAAAAACAAGAGTCTGACAGCTGTCCCCAACAATTACAACTGGTTGTTTTACAGCTGCTTTTACAGCTCCGTAAAAATGATCAAAGATCCAAAATCTCCTGAGCTGTGGAGAGACAGTCTCTCATCATCGTTATTATTATTACTGGACTTTATCCTGCAGCCTGAACAACGTTTCATCTTGGCTGCACGTGCAAAGTGCAAAGAAAAGTGTTGCAGCAGCTGAACTAACATTGTTGTGTTTTTTTGTTTTCTTATTTTTCATGTATTTTATTTTTTTAATGCCGGTTCTGCAGAGCTGTTTAAGGAGGACACGTGGTTGTTTAGGCGCCACAGCTGCAGGAAAAAAAAAATGCCCTGGAGATATTTTTTATTGAATAAAAATAGACAAAACTGCAGATTACTGCAAAAACTTCATTGGATTGGATGAGTGGAAATTAAAACAATAAAGAGACATTTCAAGAACACAATGAAAACATTTCCCTAAATTTTATTTTAAATGTCTTTATAATTCCAGTGCAGGTGGAATTTCTTTTAACCTGAAATTGCTGCATGCACATATCAACAAAAAGTTGTTCCAGCAGATAAACAAGAAACACACACACACACACACACATATATATACATATATATAATATATATATAATAATAATATATATATATATATATATATATATATATATGCGTGTGTGAGGATAAAGCAGTATAATAATCACAATAAGTTGTACTCCTGCAGCTCCTCTGAAAAACCTCTATCTGCAGGTTTCCAACATATCTGAGGTATGAACTTGTGTAAAAATGAGGAGTTTCACTGTAAAACACAACAACATGGTCACGTCTCTCTCCCCCTCACCTCCCCCCTCCTCTCCTCTCCTGTCTGGAGCCATAAAGTCTGGAAACCGGAGCCTCGGTTTATGAACAGCCGGTTTTATGTGGACCTGCTCGGTTCTCTGACTGAAAATCTCCATTTAGGATTATTTCCTGTCCAGTTCCACAAAGAGCCGCTCTTCTATTGTCACCCCGCACCTTTTATCACGATCCTCGTGAAACACACAGCTTCTTGTGGACATCTTTGACTCTTAAAGGAGGTGTCAGTCTGGCTTAGTTTTGAGTCCACATGCAGGTAAATAAACGTGAATAAACTTAGTTTCTTCGTGTTTTTCTTCTCAGCGCACAGTCAGACAGAATAAAGCGGCCGCAGAACTTCATGTCTGACGTTTTGAAAAAAAACAAAAACATTCCTGGTGAAAAATGTCTGCCTGTAATGTTCAAGTAATGCTTTTATTAAATCACGTCTTTCAGCGGCGCCTTCAGATTTGTGACTCTCAGATGGAGATGATGTGGGATAACATCCTCTTAAATCAGAGAACCCCCCCCCCGCCCCGAAATGATCATGTCATAAAGTACACATGATAATATTTCTGTGCCTACCTTAATGAAATCCGGAGGTGGTGACACATATTCTGTAAAGCATCTGCGCGACGAGTCTTTTAGGTCTCAATTCACGGCAATGACATTGATCTGAGCAGCGCCCCCCAGCGGCCAGAGGCGGCATCGCGCGCAAAACAACCGAGGCGCCCCGGGAAGATGCTGCAACAAATGACGGAGGAAAAGCCCGTGCTCACTCGTTTCAGTGGGTTTTCCACCACCTCCATCCGAGCCCACTTTAAGCCCCAGTTAATAACCTTGGTCTCAGACGCTTTATTGCTCCACACTCCAAATGCTCCAGACGAATCCGCCTTTTATGGCCAAGTTACTGGAGCAACATGGGAGGATGTGCAGCAATCAGCGGGGGGAATTCCTGGGAACTTCACAGGATAAGGAAGGGGCCCTTATTAGCTTATGACAGGGTCATTCACGTTGTTTTCAGGGGCCTGGTGGGTGAAGTAAAGCTAACCCCTCCATCTTTACGCATCTCTTTAAATGATGCCTCGTTACGTCATTTAAAGTCCTGGCTGATGGTTAAACCTTGTTTAATCTAACAAAACGGCACCTTAGAAAATAAAATCCTCCACATAGTTAGATAATTATGATGATTAATTTGCGCAACTTCGCGTCTAAATGAGCCCAAACTGCAGCGCATGTCCAGCAGCTTTCATGGAAGCACGAGGAACAATAAAACAGACTGATCTCTGGATCAGGAGCAGAGTGCTTGAGTTCTAACAGGCATGTCAAGTCAAAAATCACCTTTTCCTCATAAAACCTTTGTAATGGGGATCAAATCATATCTGCAGCGGCTCTGATTTCCGGATGTGGAGGGTGAGAACACTAATCATCCATCTGATACCATCCACGTGCTGGAAAACACAAGAGAGAGACTCTGTTGCATTTGGGAGAATTATTTTTAACGCCTTTTTTTTCCCTTCACATCAGGGGTTTGTTCTTTGGATCAAGCTGAAAACGAATCCGTGTTTTTGCAGCCATGAGCTCAAAACGCTTACACTAAGATGTTATCGTCAATTTAGGGAAGGTGAACTCAAAATACTCCATCAGATGAAGAACTCTGAGGCGAATGAAACAAAAACGGGGTTTTCAGCCATTGGGTTCGCGTGGATAAAACATCTTTGCGTTTTGTTCAACCAAACTCAAAGGCGCGTGCGTAATGTCAAGCAAACTCTGACTTTTTAAGGATAAAAAAAGTGTATCCATATATATATATATATATATATATATATATATATATATATATATAGTGTATGGGGAAAAAAGACAATGCGTTCATGGTTGTGAATTGGAAACAAAGTTTAATTTTAAAGAAAAAATAAAAGCTTCTTTTGCTTTTCTTTCAATGAATCTACAGAATTTATGTATTAAATTAAAAAAAAATCAGACTGATTTATTTGGTTTATTTTATTAATAAAAAAATAACCTTTAAAATATTCTTTAAACATACTGTGTTTATCAGATGCATATTTGCAAATAAAACTAAAATAACTGCAATAGTAATAATAATAATAATAATTGTAATAATAATAATAATGATGATGATGATAATAATAAAAATAACTGGAGATTTGAGGGGTTTGGGGGTCCTTCAGTTCAGTCACCGTGTTGGCACAGATTCTCTGCTGCTGCCTTGCTCAGCTCTCACAGCAGCGGGTTGGTGCTGTAGTACTGTAAACGGTCTCTGTTCAGTTTCTTCTCCTTCATCCTCCGGTTCTGAAACCAGATTTTCACCTGGCGGTCAGTCAGATTGAGCATCCGTGAGAGCTGCAGCCGCTTCTCCTTGTTGATGTAAACGCTGAAGAAGAACTCCCTCTCCAGCTCCCGGATCTGATACTTGGAGTACGGACACCTCTTCTTGCGCGTCCTTTGGCCACCTGCAACGCAAAGAAACAACACAAGTTGAATTTGAGTTGCAGTAACATGAAGTTTCTTTCCCCCCGGCTGCACGCGCGCTGGTCTGGCTGCAGAGCTGTTGGAGTTCAAGGGTCTCTCAGGCCTGCGAGTAAACAAAGACATGCGCCTTGGAGTCCAGCCTGCTGGACCTGGAGGGTTGGGTGTGAAAACGAGCTAAAAACCCTTCAAGTACTCGTTGATTTGAATGTTTGAGAGACAAGACGTGGATCTAACTCCAATACACGAAGGTCGCGTGTCTCTTTAAATCAGGATTTCCGTGCGTAAAAAGCTGTTTGTCAGTCACGAGGAGCAGCTGCTGAATTCAATCCAAACAATTTGTGGGTGGGGAATAAAAATCCCCTTAAGAGGCTGAATTCAGCCAAAACTGCAAAAAATTAACAAATGTTTTGTTTTTTAAAGATAAAAGTTAATTAAAACGCAAAAAAAAAAAAAAAAAGAAGAATCCTTTTGTGATGCTTTCATGTTTACTTCTACTGAGTTATGAGAACTTTTGTAATAAATACGTTGTTGCAGTGTAATTTAGATTAAACAAGCAAAAGCGCACGTGTGGGAAGAGGTCAGATCTTTTACAAAAGAAATAATAATCACGCCAAAGTCATCACGGCCAATTTCAATCCCAAGCACGTGATCTTGTAGTTTATAACGCAGTTTTGTTCCAGGGTAAACGTGCAGGGCCTCCATAAACCTCCCGTGCTTATAAAAGCGCATATAAAAGCCTTTAAGAGCGCCGCGGCGCGCGCTTTCCCTGCTCCACTCACTGCTCGCTCTGTCCTCGCTGGTTCCGGACGCAGACTTGGGGCTGCAGCTCTCAGAGTCCGGGCTGAGCTGAGCCGGAGCCGGGCTCGTCCTGCCGTGTGGCGTGTCCGTGTCTGGAGCTGCCCGTGCCACCGTGGGGACGCCGCCGCCCTCCGAGCCACCGTACGCCGAGTCGAAGAACTGATCGAACGCCTGCGGGAGGACCCCGTTCTTCCCGCCTGGAAAGCCCGGAGCCTGTCCCGAGGAGCCGGAGCAGTTCTTCAGGATCTCTCCCCCCCGGGAGGTCGGACTCGCCCAGCCGAGGTCCTCAGCATAGCAGTGCGCCAGAGCCCCCCTGTGGTGCCATTTACTGGAAGTCTCAATACCGTAGTCTCTGAAAGCCACCTCTCTGACTGACGGGACCTGTGGCAGCGCCGCGGACTGGTACTGGTACGTGACCGGGCAGGAGGTCTGGCTCTGGGTTAAATAATGAGGGAGAGCCGAGAAGTCCGCTCCGGACACGTAGTAGGTGCAGCTCGGTAAATACATGCTGGAGCCAGAAATCCGCTCATCAAAATCCATATTCTGCTGCTGGAGTAAGAATAAAAATAAAATCAAAATAAAGGCTCTATAATAGTCCTCACATTGTGGCTCCGCGGCGCTGCGCACCGCGCGCACAGAGGAGGACTGCCGGAGCAGAAATCCTCAGACGCACAAGCTGACGTGGGGATCCATCTCCATCCATTCCTGGGGGCCAAAGCCATGTGACCACTGGCACAATATGACAGATAGCCTACGTCTCAGCGTGTGAGCTACATGGCTCAAAGAGGTGAACTAAAAGGCGAGCAGTCAGGAAAAGGACCCCAAAAAGGAGGACGTTTTTTTTTTTTTTTTTTTTTTACGCACAGCCAGTTCGGGTTCCATGAACCCCCTGATCTGTACTGTACTGTCCCCCAGATGGCTTGAGTTTCTGTCAGACTTCAAATGAGCCCATAAAGGATGTTATTACATGCAGTTTAACGCCGAGATGTTTCCCATAACCAACTTTTAGGTTTGTAACCTTAAACGTTTGACAAAACATTGATTTTAACTCTCCTATCCTGCATCCAGGAATTAGACGGTGACAGAAAACCTGTTGACTCTGAGGTAATTAGTGCCCGTTTTAATGAGGGGCGTGCGTAAAGTGCTTTGGAACACAGAAATCCTTTACTATGGCTGACCCACATGCAGGTAGGGTTCTGTCCTCTGCTCTATGTGGACTCGAGTGGTGGAGCCACGTGAGTCCTTTCTGTCAGGTTCCACAAAAGACAATGGAGGTCAAAGATGGAGGCCTGGGCATCTCTTATGTTGCTGGAGAGACAGCAGGGTGTTTGGATTTGGAACAGCCAGCACGTTGATAACCGCGTGCAGCAGAACTTTGCGTGGAATGGAGGGAAATAATTGTGCCATAATGAAAAGTCTAAAACTGAACGGGGTTAGATGTGCGGGTCTGTGCGCGCTCAAGGAATGCGTTTCACGTTCAATGCAGACGGTCACGAGCTGGGAATAAAAGGGGCGGTGGGGGGAGCAGAGGGGGCTTTGGTCTGTGCAACACCCAATATAAACCTTTGGACACGGCCTATTTACGTCACTCTGAGCTGTTTTCTGGTTTGAAAACTCAGAAATCAATGCGCGTGCCTCCCCTGCAGAGCGACGTCCAGCTGTGGATGAACGTGTTTGTGACTGAGTGGGTTCTGAACAACTTTTGAAGCGATTTGCGTGTTTTTATTCTTTTTTTTTTTTAAATTTCATTGAAGCCATTTTGAAATTTATGAACCAGTTTTGTCTTCTTTTGTTTTTCGTTTTTAAAGTCCTCCCCCCGCCCCCCCCCCCCCGCTCCGAATTCAGTTTGAATTGAGTTTGTAAACATTTGCTTTATAAATGAAATAAAATAAAACCTGACCAGTGTCCTGATTTATTATAACAAATACATCCCAATGAAAACAGAATTTAATTATTTACTATTACTATTATTATTAATAATATTATTATTATTTTCATGTATTAAAATCAGAGATGGCTGTTAACGAGGGCTGAAGAAAAGAAAACATCAATAATAAAACAGCCTTTTCAAATTTATCCACATTTCTCTTTGAAATAATTATCAGGGAAGAAAAATAAAATAAGACCAAAAATAAATAAATAATAATATTATATATACATTAAAAAAAACATGTTTAGCTGTCAAAGAGCAGCTAAAGTATGAACTGATAACAACAGCTAAAAGAAAATCTCAGATTTATGCGTCAAAAGTTATGGGGAATAACAAAGTTTAACAGAGCGGGATGTCTCTTCAAACTTTAGAAAAAAATGTTCAGGTGTAAATGTTTGTTTTTAATAAAGAGTGGGAGTTTGTATAGGACTCATCAAAAATAGGATTTATTTAGAACAAAACTGAAGACATCACCCAACAAAGAGGCACTCATTTTGAGTTCAGTCTGTGTTTTAGTTCATTGATGTTCAACAAACAATTAAAAACAACAACAACAACAAAAATACAAACAAAGTCAAGTTTCACTACTGCAGTTGGATTTTTAGTTTGGGTTTAGTTTGCACTTTAAACCACTATTGTGACAAAATTTTCACCATTGTATGGGACAACAACATATAGCACTTTACTTGACTCTTCTTTATTTGGTAGAGATTTGACTTCATCTTCATTCTGAAAAAAA